GGGAGGGAGGGAGGGAGGGAAAAAGGAAGGAAAGAAGGAAAGAAGGAAAGAAGTGAGAGGAAGGGAAAGGGATATCGTCAAGAGTGACTGAGCAAAAATGTTTTTTCCTATTACTCATTTATTTTCTATTTTGCAAAAATAAACAACAAATCCATCAAATACGGCATCAGATTTCCAAAGAACAATGAAACCTGTTCTTCCAAAAACCTTCTGGATTGCTAAGGCATAAAGTTAGGATGAAGGAAGTTTGCATAATGCATATAAAAAGCCACCTTATCACCCACTTCTGCAGGCCATGGATTGAGAACCGGAACATCTTCCGTGGTTGAGCTCTTTGGAAACTGCAATGAGAATAGTTTTCCTTGGCAAAAAGAAAGTCATGGAGACAAAATGGAACTTTCAAAGAATTCTCCATCCTGTTAAAATTGGATGAAAATAAATTTCTGCTCCAGAAGGTGATGGACTCTCCATGCTATAGATTGTTAAACACAAACTGGATTGCCACTATGAAATATATTTTGGATTCATTACATTAAACAGTGAACAGGAGAAGTTCAAACGATCCTTCCATCTCAGTGTTTCCATTACAGCAGACTCAATGAAGTATAGAAATGCTTGCAGAGGAACTCAGTGCTCTGGTGTCATATCCCATTCCCTCAACATGTCAGCCTGCCTGCCCCAACCATATTGTCTTGCAATGTTCTTCCCCAATACTGATCAGCAAAAACTTTTCTTAAGTTTGGGAAGATCCCATTATAAGAATCTCGGTAGGCAGAAGATTTAGAGGATGAATAGTAAAATTTCCTTCTGTGCAGAATGTGAGATGAGATAACATCTAGGCCACCTTTGGGAACTAGCTGCTTGAGTTTCAGATAGTCCCAATTTAAATCTTACATTATGGGCTGGCAGTGGTTTTAGGCTGCAAATGTATATGTCTGTGAGCATATATAGCTATAGTTTATGTGAGTATGTCTTTTATATTATCCTTCAGTACAGTATTGTTACTTTTTTATGTGGTTGGGTTTGGTTGTAAATCTTCCTCATCGTCTTCCTTATTGTCTTTTTTCATTTCCAGAGTTAAACTGATACTGAATTTCTGAAGAATTTTAGACATATGCTTCAACAGCTTCTACTGTGATTCCTACCCAGTATTTCCCAGATTTATGTTTCACAGACAACATTTTGTCTGTTAGATAGTATAAAAGTACAATATCACTGTGGCTCATACCATGTACAGCTATAATGTTTTACATCACAATATTAGTATTATGTTACATTGACTGCTGAAAAAGCTACAATCCTTGCACTGCTATGTCATTTCGTTATGGGCTTTAATGAAACTAAGAATTTATTTGCTTGAAAATTTCTCTTCATATTGTTCCACTATTCTTACCTCTTTAGCATGTGTTTGCAATAACTTTTGTGCAACAGCTTTTCAATAACTAACAGAGGGCTTCAACCACATTCTCCTGGTTTTTGTTCCAAAACCTTCCTTTCAACTAGAGAGCCAGTTTGGTGGAGTGGTTAAGGTGCTGGCCTAGAAACCAGGAGATTGGGAGTTCTAGTCCTGCCTTAGGCATGAAAACTTGCTGGTTGACTTTGGGCCAATCACTCTCTCTCAGCCCAACTCACCTCACAGGGTTGTTGTAGTGGGGAAAATAGGAGGAGGAAGGAGGATTAGGTATGTTTGCTGCTTTGAGTTGTATATGAAAAAAAAAGGTGGGATAGAAATCTTAAAAAAACAAAACAATGCTAGAGGAATCAGAGTTAAATTTCATTCCAGTTCATTCATAATCATGTCTGATGTTTCTGAAACTCTTCACAGGTGAACAGCTGAATGCATTTTAATGCAATATTGATAGTGACTTCAAGTAGTAGGCTTTAGGTTAAAACATGAATTCAACAAGATAAGAATGTTCATGGTTTTTCTTCAATGCTGCTTCTGTTCAACACCTTACCCAATGCCTTGTGGACTTCCTTGTTCCGCAAGGTGTAAATGAGGGGGTTAAGCAGGGGAGTGACTACAATATACAACACTGCAATTTGTTTGCCCCGATCAGGATCTGAGGTCAACTGGGGAATAATATATATAGAGATGATGGGACCATAGAACAAGGTGACCACAACAAGGTGGGAGCCACAGGTGGTGAAAGCCTTACGCCATCCTGCAGCTGAGTGCATTTGAAAAACTGAATACAAGATGAAACTATAGGAACATAGGATAACTAAAAAGGGAACTAGAGCAATAAATGCTGCTAGACCATTCAGTATGGCCTTGGTGAGCTTTGTATCATCACATGCAAGATCTAGCAAAAAATGAAGCTCACAGACAAAATGATTAATGTGATTGGGACCACAGAATGAATGACGAAAGATGCAAACAACGTTGATCATTGAGAAGAAGCAACCTATGATCCAGCAGGAGGCAGCAAGCAGGTGTTGGTGCTTCCTGTCCATGGCAGAGGCATATCTCAAGGGGTTGCAGATGGCCAAGTAGCGGTCATAAGCCATGACTCCCAATAGCAAACATTCGGTACTGCCCATGCTCAATCCGCTGAAACCCTGCAACATGCAACGTGTTGTGGAAAGCACTCCATTTCCAGCCCAGAGGTCGGCTAATGTCTGAGGCAAAGTGCTAGTGACATACACAATCTCCATGCCTGCAAGATGGCTGAGAAAGAAATACATAGGTGTGTGCAGTTGGGCATCAATGTGTACCAGTATGATGATTAGCAGGTTACCCCAAACTGTGAGCAAGTAGATTGTTAGGAAGACCACAAAAAGCAGAATTTGTTGTTTTCGATGATCTGTGAGTCCCAAGAGGATGAACCCTGTTTCTGAAGTGAAGTTCTCAGCTCTCATCTTGGCATCCTGCCTACAGAATAGAGATATTGATGGGCAATGAGAGTAATTGCAAAACAGAGATAGAGAGGAGGGAGAGAAAATTCTCCATCCAACCAACTATAGTAGAATGTCAGCTCAGAGATCCTTGATTTCCAGTGCAACTTTCTGGATTGGTCAGCAGCACTACTGAACATTTTCATTAATACAGAATGGTACCAAAGACATCCTCAACAGATTATCACCCTGCACTGCATTTAGCAGATAATGCATCAACTCCTGTCTCGGGATCACCATTATGAAACTTAAAAGTTGGAATGATTCGCATATGATTTATCCCCTAAACAGAAAACAATAGAATTTGGAATTGCTAGCCTAATTCATGTAGGAGAGATATAGATGATTTTCAGCAAGAGTGATGAACGTCAGGTGGAAGGACAGTAAGGAGTGATATGGCACACTAGTTTCTATCATGAATATATGTCCTTAAGTCTCTTTATAAGAAGTCCTTTCTCCTTTGGGACAAAGTGCAGTCAGGATCATCTTCATTCAAAGTTACCAATAGCACAGAAACTATAAACTACTAACCCTTACAAATCATTTCACAGTTCTTAAAATCTTTTGAACAGTTCCTTTACATTATTAAGTAGATTGTTGTTTGTGTGTTTGTTAAATTATCCGTTGTTCTTCTACAGAATTCCATTGAAACACAGAACCCCCTTACGGACTGCTGAAAAAAAGGGGGGAAATGAACTGGTGATTTATGGATTTGATGATTAGAAAGGGTAGATTATGGAAGGGAGGAAATTATGATAAAAC